GACAACGAACCTGTCTTTCTCGAGATATTCAATGTCCAACTAAACTGGATTATTGTGCCCTCCTATGGTAAACAGCTGGTTTTTTGAAAATTGAATAACTTGAGAAAGGCATGTTCGTTTTCGTTGAAACTTTCAGGACTATCTAATGACTATTAAATCTATCTATAGGTAAAATTTCAGGTCGAAATTCTTCATTTTGGTTTTTTCCCTAAATGCCTGGCTCACAGTAAAAATTTCAGTAAAATGACCATAACTCTTCACCAGTAGACCATGGGCACGAATTCTTTTAGGCTTTTTCTTATCGCCATATACTGTTTCGAATGAGATGTGAATGAGTCAAAACGGAACGGATCATTTGGGAATGTTCCCTCGTTAGTAGTGCAGAACAACGGAACTTCGTTTTTACTATCTGCCTTTATACAGAGAATGTTTTGTTAACCTATTTATAAGAAACTAATGCGCATGCGCGACTACTTTTAGTATGCCCTAAGTATTTGTTATTGCAATTTCTTAACATCATTGGCAAGATACAGTGGACAGAGATTATCCGCATATTAGCATATTATGTTTTTCAATTTTCAAAGCCTATTGCATATTATCATTTGTATTAATGTGAGTTCTTAGGAAGGTTCTCATTAGTGGCGTAGCTAGAAACTTTTAAGAAATGGATCGCTTCCCAACTAAATTATTTGCAGGAGTGAGCAGAAATGAGCAATTAATATTCAATTGGACTGCAATTTTTTAAAAACTTATTGTCATCGCAAAAGCTGATGTTTATTGAAGAGAAGTTCGTGACTTTCAATCAAGAGAACAGCTCGTTCGCTGTTTTTTATACTGTTTCATAAATGTACTTGTCAACTTTCAAATGTTTGAATATATAATGTCAAAAAACATGAATAAGCATAAATAGAATCATCAGAGAGTTTAGATAGGATAACGAATATTTCGACCAAAAAGTACCATTGAATTGTCATCATTGTGATCATCGGTTTAACGGAAACCATAGCCAATTGAATCTTGCTGGAGCACTTGATTAGATCGCAACAAGATATAATATTTTAAAATGACACCACTTGGATCTTTGTACATGTATGTGCATCAAAATTTTTCGGTATTGGGTGAATGGTATCATTTCGAAAGCCTTGTGGGTAATTACTTTTGAATTGGTGAATAATTACCCAATGGCCGTACCCTTGACTAAGACACTGAATCTCATAATCACTATTCAGGCATCGACCATCTCTCTCACTCGGAGAGTGTGTCATATATGAAATAGTGTCGTAGACCTCTAAGTGATGCATCAATTCATTTAAAATTTGAGCATATCACACATCCCTCTTTCATTTCTATACCATTTAATTTTCAGAAGACATCGAAACTAGTATACAATTTTAGCGCACTCGATAAATCTCAGCAGGCTTCTTGAAGTGTATTGTAGGAATATTCAATTGGTTATATATGAAATAGATGTAAATAAATATCATATCTTGATGTCTCTCTATTGCAAGTTCAAATATGGTATAATTAGAATATCTCTGTCTATACACGCCAAATGTAGCTTATATTTTATATTTGTTACTTTGGTAGTGAGAGTCTTAACATGACCTAAATACGTTTTACCTTCTTAACTAACGACACAAAAGCCCTTCGTTTTGAATAATACTTTTTTCCTTTTTAGTGGTCGTTTCTTCTAGAAATCGCATTCAAAGAAACAAAACATAACTGTACGAATTTTTATGAATTAATGAGAACTCTTCACGAGAACTCTGACAATTTCTTTTGCTTTTGTCATAATATACATGTAGAAAGTGAAGAATTCGTTCAAACTGCGAACAGTTATCACTTACATATTCTAAATATTTTTCAGTTATAGATGACCTGACTTTTTTCCTTATCGTGAATAATGCAATATATAGAATGAATAACTTTTATGATTAAGACATATTGAAATGAGCAATTAGTATGAAAATGAATCGAGTTTAGTTAAAACAGGCAAATTAAAATGTAATAACGGCACGTGTTTTGTCTGTTTTTGGAATGCATGAGTACCAGAGACTGGCGGGACAATGAAAAACTGTTCCATCAAGGCCCACCGGAAATTGTCCACTGACTGTCTTCCTTTCCATCCCGTCCCGCGTCCCAACTAATCCTGCGAGTATAACTTCACCAAAAGTTCTATGTCATACATATATGTTCATTTATTTCACAATAGAAAAGTGTTGTCGAGCCAAAAATGTCTACATCAGGAAATGAAGTACAATAAATGCACACACATATTCACAAGAAGCTGGGATATAAGAATAGAAACCACAATATATCTTCAAGAATAGTTACAAATTTAGATTGACTGCAATGATGTACAAATATGAATTGACAAGAATAATTTTCAAGATTAGCACATGTGACGAAATGAGACAGAATGAACAATTAAGCGCATACATAATTATATATACATTGCATTTTCTATGTCAGACAAATTATATTATGGTCATTGCCTCCTCCGTCAGTCATCGGTCATCTCCTTCCAATAGAATTGACCATCATTATTGTCCTTTTTCTGTTTCAATGTCTGTTTACATAAGAGTCGCCCGCTATGACGATCATCCTTCTACTCTTGCGACATAAAATCAATCACTATTGTAATGCACTACATGAACGGTTATTTTTAGTTTTTGTTTCCTTGACGAGAGTAAGAGGAAGAAGCATTCAATTCTATCTATCCCGCATTTCGTGACTTTTTGTCCTGTGTCCTGCCCCGTCTTGTTCCACCCTACTTATCTTTGTTTTCTCTCTCGCCCTGTAACTTTCTGATGCGTACCTGTTACATCATCCTCACGAACAACAGCACATGATATTGATAATATTGCCAACTACGTGAGTTTGATAAACATTCTCGTCGAAACTATACACTGTGAGACTAATCATTGCACGAACGATGGCTTTGCTTCCGTCGATACAAGCATGTCTCGAATTCTATCCAAGCAAGAATCACTACAAAGAAGTTTTGCATCAGAATAACCCAAACCGCAACGCTCGTGTGAAGCTATTAGTTTTATGATGGTACCAATAGTGTTCGAATTAAATGGTTGACGGTAGTCTGATCCTAGGTCTTTCCAATATTTATAGCAATTGAACACAAACACGAAACTCACATCCACGCTCACAAACTAATTTTTAGTTCAATTGCCGCCTACGGTTTCGACATCTAAAATACTTTTTGACGTTGTCAGTAGAAGTGCACAGAGCTCTGTGTTTCATAAAGAGAGGCACAAATCAAGTGTTCATCGTGAGCATAAGAGTCCAGAAAATGACATTCGTATATTATCTCTGTTGCTGACATGTGCGGCACTCATAGTTTCTTTCGGCATCAATCGAAACTCTAGTTGAATAGTTCAGTAGTTTAACAGTTTGATAGCTGAAAACTCGCAAAGACTTCTCGAATTTTGTATATAAGATTGTATACAGTTTTATACACTCTATTTAGCTTGTACACGACTAGTTCTTGTTTGTTACAAGTCCATCTACGCAATTTCTTCAGAGAAAACGTATTTTAGAAACAAGAACTCTATCGGAATCTAATAGAAATATCTATCACAGAATACATAAAGGTTTCATACAAAAATCCACAATTTTTTCTTTTCGATGCATGATCTTGAAGGTTTGAAACGAAACTTACCACACGCTGCTTTTTTTCTGTCAAATTTCTTTGTACTCCACCGCATTCAGAAAACTCTGTGAAGTTATTCGGATGACAAAGAAGGGAGTGAATTAAACGACAAATTAACTCACTCCTATCTTAATGCATCGTTCGGAAGTTTCGACAGATCGATGCTACTCTATCATCACAATATATCGAGTTCGTTAGCACCTAATAAGAACATTAACAAAGACACTTGATAGGCTTTCAGACTATCAACCATCTGTGAGTCAATTAGTTGCGATCACTCTTTTGATGATATTTTGAGAAAAGAAAAATGCCTGTTGGTGGTTTTTTTCGAAATAGCTAGAAAACAAAGATGTTTACAAAGTGATCTCAAATAATATAAGTTATTTTGATGATCACTTTGACTGTAACCTAGACAAACCAATAAGAAAACTATGGTAGAAATCACTGTTACATTATAAGCAGATGGTATCAATAATTAGCAAAGGAAATATCGTGAAAGAAGCAGGAAATTACTTATACTACGAAGACTCAAATGACTAATAAAAGTATTATTGACGCAAGCCAAAAACATCATCAAAAAGTTCACCGTGCTGAAGTTTATCGATCTACACAGTTTTTTGAATGATTTGTCGTAAATATTGCGTTCATTCCTTCTTTATTCTAAGTCGTAGTCGCCAATGTACGGTGGTTTGGACGAAGTAGGCGTAAGGGCCGTATTTCACTTTCAGCTTCACACATTCAGATGCACACTCACATCAATTAAAACTTGGAAAATCATCTAGGATTCGAAAGAATGTTCAAAATATTCTATTTTATTACTAGGCACTTCATTTCATTTATTTCCATCAACATTTTTTTATTCCATGAAAAATTTATTTGCAAAGAAAAAACTTTGAGCTTGTTTTCATGTATTCAATAGATCTAAAAGATAATTTATTCTAAAATTATTCAACATATTATGGAATGAAATACATTTATTTTATATTTATTATTCAATAGAATTTTTTCATCTATAAAATCTAAATGTGATAATGGATAAATATTAATTGTTTCCACATGTTAATGGTTTACGATAAAAAAGAATAGCTTTTCTTGTTTAATTGAGTGTATAAATTTTAAGAATGGAACCGATTATGAAAAGAGCTTAATGCAATGGCAAAAGCTTGAATGGCCGTAAGAGGATGTCGATAGTCGAGAGCAAAATTATTATCATCAATACGACCAAACTGCATAACAGCATTACCGTCATCTATATTATCGGGAAAACCTAACAAGAAACTTTATTCGATAAAAAAAAACACATACGATTATCATTTGAAGCAATTAGTTGGAAATTCTTATGTGATGGTAGTCTTATACGACTGTCATGTAATTTAAGGCTAAACGTTTTAGATTCTAAATTAAAGAGAATTATTTTAGAAACAATAAATTCAATATTGATTAACTCTCATCATAGATTGGTGCTTTATTTTCCATTTGAATTAAATCAATTGAATTTCCAGATCGCCATTCATCAATAATTGTTTCTCCTGCCTTTAACAAGAAAAATAAATCAATTTAAACATCATATAAAGAATGATCTATTGACTTTTATTGGTCGAATGTTTTTTTCAGCATCATGCAACAAAACGTTGAATTTTCTTGGTTCTTTCGATCCAAATATATGTTCATACTAAAATATATATATCACATTTCAACAAAATAATATTCTTTTTTTCTTTAAAGCTCTTATAACTTCTTAAACAGGTCAACAAAAATAGAAAATGATAACTTATAGTATTGTTATTTTGATTTATTGATGAAGGAACTTTTATTTTGGTATTTTGTGAATCTTAAAAGATTGTCACATCATAGTTTCGTTTAATTTAATATATATAAAATTTAAACAAAACTAATATAAATATAAACAATAACAACAATTCTTTTTGCATATCGATGTTCTTCAAAAAAAGACAAAACAATCAAAACAAAATAAAATATTTGTTTCCAATTAACTCTTTAAAATTCACTTTAATCACAGCTTTATCAAAACTTAGTAATCATCAGTTTGAAGAAGATGAATGAACGATCTGACTCGTGCACTTTCTTCGAACTGGCCGAAACCGTTACTTTACTGTGAATTCTTTCCGTCAACATTGACAGGTTGAATTTTAGTTCATAGTAAGATATTCTATTCTGTCCCAACTCACCTTGAAACTCTCCTGGTCTAGTTCAAAATTATTCAAAAATGAACTATGAGAATTTTAAAGTAAATCGGCTGAAGTCAGAATATTTTCAATTTGAAGAAAACGGATGTCAGAGTCGGAATAAAAGAGACCAAACCTACACCCAACTACTGTTTAAATATTAACTAGTAAATTTCACTTTTCATACATGTTACGATTTCATGTTATCCTCTGCAAGAAATCTATTCTGCTTTTATTTTGCGAAACATGAGCTAAAAGGAGTGTTAAAGTATATAGGATAAATATTTGCATCTACCTTCCATCCCCTCTCTTCTCTCGCAGACCATAATAGACATCTCAGCAACACTTTCCTTCCCTCGAGTCATAGACCGTAACAGAGATTATTGATACACGATCACAAACGGGTTATGAATAACGTCTCGTTATAATATATGAACTACTTCCTTATTACAGTTCTGGAAGATTAAGTCAAATGATGGCGAAGATCTTTGTCATAATATAGATTGAATAAAAGAATCTTCCTGTGGTCAGCAACAGTAGCTACGTTGTTTTTCATATTTTAATCCTGCAGACACTGGGCTAACTACTTCTCATTAGTTTTATTGGATAAAGTTGAAACAGGAAAATAAAAATAATTTATAACAACTTACATAAATAATGGCAGCTGATTGATGTTTATTGTGTTCATTAGTTGAAGAATTTTGATGATCATAAAGTACGTATTCACTACCCATAATGTTAATACCTTTTAATGTTGCTAGTGAATTTCCATCATTTAGATTTTTTGATGGATTTTCGAAATCAATTCCAATGAAATATTCTGCATGTCCACCAATTGTTATATGTTTTCGTGCACTCAGCAGTAAGGTCTTAAAAAGAAAAAAATTCGAATAAAAATATACTTTTTGTTTTTTATAAATAAAAATACTTGATTATTTTCATTTTGCCCGTCGAAATACAAAGTAAATACTGTTTCAAAACCTTTTGTAAGACCTTCTTTGACACGTTTTACATGACATCGAACAAAATCTGAATAATCTTTTGGAATTGGTGTATTTACATATTTTTTTAAATCATTTTGAATCAAACTTAGTACATCAATGTTGGAAATGTTTGACTGATTTATCTACAAATAGAAAAAGAATAAAAAAAGTAAAATTCTATTTAAGAAAATACGTCTGCTGTTGAAGATGCTTTTGACGATTGAGTATCTGGTTTGTTGTCTTCTAAATAAATAATTGATTTCGAAAATAAAATAAATATTATTGTAACCTGATGCAGTTGGTTCATGAGTAGTTGGAATTATTTTATGTGATGAATTTACTTGATCATCATCATCATCAATATCATGATGATCATGGTGAGTTAAACTAAGTATTGAAAAAATCAATTGAAAATATTCAAATAAATATTCATCTAACTTTTCAGTTGTTGGCGATTCAAGATTTGACATGTCGATGACGATTGATAATTAATTTTTTCTTCGAAAAAAATTCCTTTAAAAAAATCCTAAAATGCAAATCATTTTATAGGTTGACGAAAAGCACACAAAACAATTTTCTCCAATGTTCGATGCTTTTCTTTCGTTTTCATGTTAGTATTGAATGTGATTGATTTACGTCGTACAATAAATACTGTTGTCACTCGAACTCGCTTCTCATCTAGAATCTTCAAGGTATTTCTTTTTATTTACATTTCTTTTTTCAGCCTTGGTTGTCTTAACGGCTGTCTCTCTCTCCCTCTTTTTCAACTTTTCTTCCATTACATACATGCAAAACATCTCAAACAATAGAAAGTGCAATAACAATACAACGCTTTCAAGGTCAACAAAAAAAATACAGTAAAATAAATGAAATGGTTTTGTTATTGCTAGGTGATGTATATTTCGATAAAAGTTATCATAAATAAAATGTATTACAATGAAGAGTTTTCAATAGAATGTATTCTTTACCCAAGTCTAACACACTCGATCAGATTTGACGGCATTCAACAACTCTTAACGTATTGAACCTTGTATTTTCTGCTTAGTAAGAAATTCTAAGATGACTTTCAAACAGGAGACTGAAAAAATAACAAAAAAAAGTTCACTTCTCTAACAGTATGGTTAGCTTCATCTAAAATAGCGTTACCTCTATTCATGTAAATGCCGAGTAACAGCCAAGCTAGCTCTTTCTGAATATAGATTATAATCAGGGGCGACGGAATGTTTTAAAATTAGGTGAGGCTCAGTTTAAGTTTAGTTTTTATCCTAAAATAGCGTTTCGCATATGAGCAATAGAATACTTAAGTTCCCCGCCCCCTCAAAAAAGTCACTTTTCGTCAGAATCATCGAAATTAAGATAAATTGACTAGGAAATTGTCCTTTATCTGCTCTTTCATAAACGACAAAAGTTTTTAATCGGCATCCCTTTCTTTCTGAAAATTTTTGAAGACTTTCGTCATTCCCTATTCGAAAATCAAGCCAGTTTTACAGAAAACCGAAAATCATTTTTGGTCCTTTTCAGAATGTGGATTCGACGACGTATCTCCAACACCATTCTATCATGGTACGGGATAAAGTCAACTATTGTTTATTTGTTTGAAAGCTCGTGTTTAGGGCAAGTGATTCTCGTGATCCTTTTTTAAAAAAGAATTTAAATAAAGAAAACATGCTGTTGTTTTCTTCAAAATTCTGCTATTTTCTGAGGACCATGATCTTGCACAAAGATTTAAAAAATAAGAGAAAGAAGAAAATCAAAAAAAAAGGCGACGAGAGTCGCTAGTCTCAGATGTCCTCTTTAAAATAAAAAAAGAAAGCCAGCTCTATCTCTTAACGTAGTTAAATGATCTGTAAGATACTGAACATATACAAATGGCTACTAAAACTGACATAGCTCTGGCTACGCAAGAGATATCGGGCTGAAATTGCGTTTTTATGTGTGACTGTCCATTCTCAATGTATACACAAAGTTTCAGCTCAATAGCATATTTTGACTGGGAGATACTATTTTGAAGGGGTGAAGGCTTAAGAAAGCTCCAAGTGATATGCTGTTTCAGATTACTTGGTACTGTTATTGTCAGAAAGAAGGTCATCTGCCTGACGATGTGAGTGTGAAAAAGAAAACAACTGTACCCACACCCAGCCTATTACTGTCTGACCTAATGAGTTTGTTGTTGATGCTGATGTTAATTGTGATATTAAACTGCTTGTAGTTGGTGGCTTCTCGTAATTACTAAGTCTAGACTGATTTGCAGATTTGCCATAATTTTCTTTTAAATTATTAATATTGGACAAACTTGATGTATCAACATGAACCGAAAATTGACTTACAGAAGACATGTCCCTGTTTTTATCTCAAAAACTTGTTCAAAGATCATTAAAATCTATTATAGTTATTTGTTCTGCAGAACCATTTGTAGAAAAAGATGATTCTTGACTTTTTGCTTTTTTCTTAAAATATTCAAGAATCGATGGAGATCCTTTTGATAGCATTTGTTTTTCTTAATCTAAAATTTCGACACTGTTAGAATACTAGAAATATTCTCTGTCTGATTAATATTTATAAGCATGAACATGATATCATATTTTTATCAGCAAGAATAATACAATTATTTTTCTTGTATAATGATAAGGCTTTCAAACCGAATGAATCAAGAAAATCCAATAACTTCATATTTAGATAAGTCTAGCAATAAATTTTTTCAGACTTTCTGCTCAAGTTTTAGATCATTTCTAAGATTATATTTCACAGCCTTAAATGAATGAAATGATTATATTTACAGAAGAGTGGATGATCTCTCAAGCTTCTCTTAGGTTTTTGTGCAGGCTATCGCATAATTCTACTATTCATTTACTTTGCGCAACATTCTATGTAAATAAAAGGTCGCGCTATGAACTGTTACGATACAATTACTGATTTTATTGTTGCTCAAGGTTTGTTTTCTTCATTGCAGCATACGCATAAAAAGTAACAGATTACAATTTTCACAGTTAAATAACATTTGTATTACAAACGAACTTCAAGTTGCGTGCAAGCGATCAAGTCTCACATCCACAATTTCGATGAGACTCAAGCCTACATCCAGCCTATACGTTCTGCTGCCAATAGGTACAATAATGCACTCATCTCATATTTTATTATTTAGATTAGAATTCAATGTAACAGCATTAGTAAGTTTTTATTCTATTTGCAATCTCGGAAAGATCAGTTTGTAGAGGTAAAATCGCACAGATCCGCTTGTCTTCACTCTGTTTTGTCGAAAATTAAAACCACATTTTTCAACCACAGAAACGTTATTTTTGAGATTTTATCAAAGTCGTTAATGGGTTTTTAGACGCGCGGAATTCGAATTTGAACTCCATTTCCTCCGAAAGTATCTACTGATGAGTTAGGAATCAATGGAAATTGGATTTTTCGAAAAACAGTCTTATGGAAGAATATTGGTATGGAGAGTGCACATCTGAGCACCATTTGCTCGAAATTCATTTGGTGAGTTAAGGACCAATATTAATCGAGTTTTGGAAATAAAGTTTTATCAAAAGTATTCGGGGAAGGACTGTTTGGAGTTTTTTTTTTGTCTATGTGGCTTGAAACATTGTCCTCAATCTTGAAAGAATGAGTCTGCAAATGTTGCTATGTTTGCTTGCGATCGACTTGATCGAACAAAATCGACTAATGAGATTTTTACGTGACTCAAACTCACTACTCACAGGCATTTAGTATTCAATGATCAGTTAGTCATCCGTAATCTCAATCGTAATCATCTCTTAAGAAAGCCTAACTCCATTGGGGGTGCTTATGCTCTGTCAGGGAATCTAGCACTACATATGGCGCCAGTAATTCAAGAATTGTTATAGTTTATATTGGATGTCAACCTGCAACAATGATCATCGTAGCCGTTTATACACCTGTGAATTTCTATGAATAGATTAAAAAATGTCATTGAGAGCTTGATGAGTTCTATAATAGTCTTAAAGCAACAATAGATAGAAATCATAAGAGCGATATCATTCTGATTATCGGAGATTTTAGTGCTCGTGCTAGAGCGGAACAAACCAGTACAACAACTGCAACTGTAGATCAACAAGCTATTGATAAACAGACTAATAACGGTAGCTGTTTGATTGATTTTTGTCTATTTAATGGCTGTATAGTTAGTAATGTGTTTTCCCCACATAAACCACAAGTAATACTCGTTGGCTTGACTCGCTTGACCCTTGACTGAATGTTCAGCTACTTTTGGGTATAGCAAGCTGTTTCACAACCGTCAACAGCATTAGTATACAACGTTTAACAAGGGTTGAATGCGCGTGAATGTTCATATACGCGTCAGCGTATTTGCATACAATGATATGTATGTTCTTGTGATGCTTTCTCTTGTTACATCATACAATCTCATTGATACTCACACATTAATACGCAATTGAAATATTAAAAAAAACCATTCTGACGCAACAATACTCACAAACACAATTTTCGACAATGCCGATACAGCAAATCGATCACTACACTATCACTCTCTTAATTATTTTCCAAGAGTCTAACGAAATCGAACAAACAGATCATATTGAATTAAGTGGAGGGATTGTCAAGGAATCACACCTGAGAGACCTGTTCTAGAGTCCCACCTTGAAATAAATCATTTTCGATAATGCCGATAATTGGAATACGTCAGTTGGGTGACTCTTCCACTTAAAATACTCATGGGATTAGACAATGAATTTGAATATATTTCAAAACATATCGACGTATGGATGCACACAGACAAGGACAAATATCAACTGAAACGCTCACTTTATATCATTCAAGTCTGCTTTCACTTCAGAGAATCTGAATTCTTTGAGTGATGTTTCCTCTCAATTGAAGCATTCAAATATGGTACACATGCAGAAAACTGTTTTCACATTTGGAAACAAATTTTCTTTTTTACACTACTGCCCACTTATGAAACCAGTCGAATCTAGACCATAGGCATTTCCCCGATGAATCCTAATAGCTTGAAGCTTTCCTACTTGTAACCAAGAGGTTCTAGATTTTCTATTTCAAACAAAACATCTTCTTGTCACAAACTCATTGTCTCTCGAATATCTTGATATTTGTAGAAATCTCGCTCTACATTAGTAATCATTGATTAAATCTTAGCGGGCAATTGTCAAGCACTATTGCAGATGTTATGAAGGCATATCCTAAAATATGTCTCGTGTTGACCTGCTTCAACAGTAGCTAGTCGTTCGTCAGGCACTCCTTCGGGGCCCCACTCACGGCTAACCGTTGCCTTTCTTACGTCCGCACTCCCTAAATGACTAATATTTTATTCTAAATCAAGCAAAGTCTGCTTTCGAAAATTTCGACCTAAATATTGAATTATTATGCAAAGATTCTTCATTGATATCAGAAAATTCTATAGCCTCTCAGGCAATATCCATCGGTAGAACATGCATCACTTTTGTCGAATAAACTTAGGCATTCGCAAGCAATTCACAGTTGAAATTCGACACAAAAGAACTATCGTGGGCAGCAGAGACGAAGTCACAACTGTTTCTGGCTCAGTTTTTACATCCAAATTAAGAATGGGTCAAGGTCAAAAAAAGAAAACAGGTCACTGACTCTTCAGTCTCCAACAATTGATTTAAGCTAATGCATACACGAAATACGTATGAAATCCTCAAATTTTCGGAAAACAACTAGTATTCCTCAAGTAATTCTAAGACAAAAAATTCGTTTCGTAGAATCTGCAACGTGACGATGGTTAATCGCAGAACACTGTCATAATAAGCGTACCTCATCCTTTAGAATCTTACCATCGGGAAAATCCTTATTACTACAGAGCTCAATATTGAAAACATCCTATTCACTTCATTTCCACCAGAAGAAACCTAGTTTCTACGGGAGTGCGCATCCTAAATACCATCGCGACGTATGATTAGTCTGATGCTCCATGAATCAATGGCAATAGATGACTCGAAAATCCAAGCATAAATACAAGCACATGCGTACACTTCTTTAATTTCCCACGACTCTCCCTTCAATCGAGAGAGAAATGTCCTCATTTTCTCAAAAAACCACTTCCCTTAACCAAAAAAATCCAATTCAAAACTTTCAAAATCTGATTGCAAATTCGAATTCTCCGACCCCAATTTACTTTCGTGAACCTTAATAAACTAACCTGATTGGTTACACTCTTAGCCCGGAAAAATCTGATGGAATGAGAGCCAGTACTCGAAAACATCTGATTGGCTGAAATTTCAGCATAAAAAAATGTGATTGACTAACATTCCGGTAAGCTGAACTTTTATTGGCTAAAGTGCGAGTATCAAGAAATCTGATTCACTCAGATCCCAGCATAGTGTTAAGTCAATGTTCTTGTGACCTTTGACCTACCACAAGCACACAAACATACAACCCCATTTAATGTCATATGACTCTCCCTTCAGTCAATGCATTCAAACGCGTTTTATCGACTCTGTCAATAAAATAGCATTTAGTGGAAGAGATGTAACATCTTTCCATCACTACACGTGATCAAAGACTTAGAATGATATGGATGTGTTCCAACGAATTTCATAACAAAAGGTAAAATGTGTTTGTATGCGTTTAGTCTAAAAGTATGCTCCGAAACCATGAATTTTCTTTAAACGCGTTTATTAAGCAGTCATCGGTGCATCTAGATGCGTTTCTGCATTCTTGCATATGAAAACGCATGAAAACACCGAAGATTGGCAACATGAATGCGTCTAGCTGCGTCTGAAATGTGTGTCATAGTTACATGGATCGATTCTAGCGCTTTAGCGTTTCATGCAACTTCTTATTTAGAAATTTCTAGCAATCGAACGTAACGCGCTACGAATGTTCATTGCCATCGAGATCAACCAGAAATAAGTCATACTTGACGTTAGGATGTAAATCGTATCTGACACACCAGCTTTCGCTGGAACGTTTCACACCTTTGGGCTTAAACCTATATTCTTGCTTGTTTATTTTAGCAAATTGCGAGTATTCATCTAGTTCGATGCTGTTTTCCCTTTTAAATACAAATATTTTTGTATCCAAACAAGCCGTGAGAGTCGGGATCCAGATTTTGAACTAAAAAAAGGAAGTTTGATCAAGAACGAGGTAGTTGACATCAGGTTTTCTTTTATTTTTCAGATTTTAAAAAATTTGCTTTGAATTAAAATTAATTGAAAACGAAGAAAGTCAACTGTTTCTCCCTTGGATTTCATCATAAATAGCTTGTGAGACTAAGCTGACGCAAACAATGGCAATATCTTTAGTACTAATGGAAGTACCAAAACATTGTAGCGAGATCTGCATCAAGAAATGAAGTGAGAAGGATAGTGATGGAAGTAACATATGCATTGTGGAAACAAAAAAGCCGAATAACGTGAGCTGAATGTTCACGTATAACATATAATTGTTTTGTGGTTGTAGTTTTTTTCTACCTTGAAATGATCAAAATTACCTAGCGGTGGTCCAAGTTAGACGGAAAGGTTCTAATGAAAAATCTTTTCTTTATTGTCTTTTTAATTTTCAAGTTTATAAAGTAGAATTAAAATCAAACAAAAATAATTTTATGTTATATCGAGTACAAGACGTAATTATAGCTACTGTAAATATAAGTACTTTGACACTAATCGATTATTCATTTTAGATAAAATGTCTTGTTTAAATATTAGTTTTTGTATTGGCATTTGAAAGATAAAAATGCGTCATCGAATAATTGCCAGTTATTAAATATATTGCGAAACTACTCGATAGTTCTATCAAATGGTATATAATCTCACGTATGATCCTGTGACCCATTGCGTATACGAGCCTTTTTTCTTATCATGTTTGTATGTTAAATATTTGTAAATAGTGTTTTTTCTTCTTCTAGAGAGATCGAACAGAGGAAATTTCAAATTGGACGAGGTCGGATAGAATTGAAATTGTGTCAGCAATATTCGGGATGCTGTCGATCATTTTGGTCAGTGATAGCGATGTTTTGACCGACAATAATGGAAGTGAAGAAAAAAATATAAATTATATACGACAAAGAAAAATCTCAAAAACATAAAAGAATTTTTTTTATACATTAACATATGAAATACTGAAGGAAACATGTAAACAAATATATATGAATGATAAAGTTAGATATTTCTACTCGTTCTTCATCACATTTTTTTGTCGATGATTTTATTTTGTTCTACTAGTTAAATAAAAATTTTTAAAGCAATAGCATTTGATCAAAGATCAAGAAAATGGTACTTTGCAAAAAAAAACATTTCTAGAACAATTCTATCATATAAATTTGATTTAGAAACAGAATATTGAAAAAAATTAAGTCAGATGATGCGCAAAATAATTTTAATCAATATTGCTATCGAAGTGAAAGAGTATAAAAACTGCAGCGAATTGGAGTTGATATGATAGATAAAAAGTGATTTCAACACTGTTTTTATATTGATTGAGTTTATAAATATGTTACAAGTTTCTCCATTGCTCAAATGAATATTTTTTATCAATTACGCATAATGTATAATTTAGAACTGAACAATGAACTTCAAAAGTTGCATTTTCTTCATCTCATCTTAATCAAATAGAATGTTTTTATTTTTGTGAGAATTCTCTACCTTTTTGTATTATTTGTTCGTCTGAATATTATAAATGAATGATGTTCAACACATTTTCTCTATTTTCTTTTTTCCGTCTTGCTACTTAGTTCATGATAGTATATCATAAATGTTTTATACTACTTTATTAGTTTACCAACTTATACAAAATTAAGCTGTTGCTTTAATCGAAAAGAAAAGCATTGAGTGTTTAGCTAATTTAAACATGACAAAGATTTTGACACTAGGGAAATAATAAATCAGACCTATGATTTATAAATCATAGGAGACATGCAACGAGAGTTCATTGCTACAAAGAATCATTTTTAAAGTAAAAATTTCTGTATTCTGATAGACCAGCTTGCTGAGTCACCATTTATTCTCTTAATAATCTAAAAAGAATAAAATCAACAGAATGCAGAGAAAGGGAAAAAAATAACATGATGCAACGATGAGAAAGAGAAAAAATAAGAGTAAAGATAGAACAGACCAATGTTTATCACCTCTTAGGAACTAATTACGGTCTCAAAAATCAAAGATGATCAATAGCAATGATTTTGAATACCGCCGTCTATATATATTTTTATATAAATATGATATTTACATCTTTTATGGATTGTTGACTTTCAATTGACCAACATTCTCTTCTCTTGAAAACTTTTTCAAAAAATTTATTTTAATCAAGGGAAAAATAAGTAAAACTCCTTTGGATATACTTCAATTATAGACATAGTGAATTGTAACGTTTCTACTTTGGAACAGTTACGATAAGTTGCATGACGTGTAAAATTCTCTATTACAGTTACCAAGTTGTTATATGAGATAGTACGATCAATGAGACTTGGAAAATATGTGTGTATCGACTAACAATTGTTCGACATAAATTTCGCATTAAAATTAATGGTCTGAGTGTGAGGGTTGAAATTTGTCAGTAGTGTCAAACCTGAAAATTGAATTAAATTATTGAACTCTTCAAGTACATAAGTAATTCGCATCGAGAGATAAGTGGGTATCTGTTTCTGTTTGATCTGTCAAGTTAAATAGTTGAATACTTGTCACTCAAATTTACAAGTTTAAAATATTCAATAATTAAATTTCGCTTTCAAATTTGTCATGTATGTAGAAGTGATAAAAATTACGATATTTCTAATTCAAGGAGGCTGATTAGTGGAATTGTCGATCATAGATTGAGAGTTTACGAAAATAAATTGTGACATCTGGAAATGTTCCAATTCCACATATTGATCATAGTTTCAAATTACTGAGAACAAAAATTTGTTTATATTTTGTATAAAATAAAGTAAGATTGATCACGAAATATAAAATAATTTGAAATAGGTAAAAAAAAAAGTGAAAAAATGAAAGAATAATAAAACAAATTGAAGTATTTCAATGGAATTACCATTTGATTGATTTTGCTTCTCGAAGTTTTTCTTTTCCTTGTTGAGACAATCCACAATTATCTAAACGACAAGCAGATAATGTTTGATTTTGTTCAACCATTTGAAGAAGACAATCTATGGATGAATCTGTGATTGATTGATTTGATCGAAGATCGAGACATCGAATAGTTGTTGAATTCAATCGAAGTACATCAGAAATAATTTTAATTCCATTATCTGTTATTTCAGTATCATTTAAAGATAAATGATAGAGACTTCGATTATTTTCAATTAATTCTATAATATATTTTATTCCTTCATCTCCAATCGGATTTGATGATAGAAAAAGATGCGTAAGATTTTTATTTGTTTTAAGAGAATCGACCATCATTCGAACACCATCAGCTGTTATTTTGTTTGTTGATAATGATAGAGATGTAGGTTTTTTCTTTCTAATTGCTTTTTTTATAATAATTGGAACGTCTTGATTTGTTAAATTCATATTAGATAAATCGATATTTTCTGCTGATGATTGATTTATTCCTTTTTCTAAATCAATATTTCGATAAAGATCATCTTTCGTTTTTGGACGAGTACAAGCAAAAGCCATTTTTACGTGTTCACTTCGATTTTTCTTTTAGATTTTTATCGAAATAATATAAAAGTTATTGCTTTATTTATTTATTTTGAGTTTGTTTACTCATATTTCAAGGTGAAAAGAGAAAAAAGATTGATTTTTCTTTCCATCAGTGTTTTAATTAACTTTCGAATCGATTTTGTTTTTTCGTATAGAATGAATTTATAAGAATGAAAAAAAAAAAAAACAAATTTTACGTTTTTCGATGATGAAATCTCATCTTACTTCTACTCGTCAAACTATATAAATAATTTAACTAAAATCAAATAAGAATTTTAAAGAAATAATTTTCTTTTTACAATCATCTGAAAAAATATATTTTTGAAAAGAATTAATTTTCAAAAATTAATTAAAAAACAAAATAATCTAATGAGTGAATTAATGTACATTTTGTTTTTGTTATAGTATTATTTTTTATTTATCAATATAAGATGATTGATGATTCTTCTCGAAATAAACATATCGAATTATGTTTCATATACGATTGGAGAAAAAATTATGAGAACATAATACTTTCGAAATAAAATAATATACAGGGTTGGAAATAATATTTTGCCCGGCGGGTAACGCAATAATTTCAAATAGGGTATGTAACGAATTTTATAACAAATGAAAGCCCATCGAAAATGGGATTTATTCATACTAAACAATAGAGATTATTAGAACTTTCGTACGTTGAACTATCAAAATTTGTAGTATTTTACCGACTGCAAGTATGAAAAAAATTATTCATGAGATAAACTTCTAACCGAATGTGACGCAAAATTGTTTATTTTTTCATCATTTTATTAATACAATCAATAATTAGTATGATGACCATTTGCGTTCTTTACTTCACGAAGTCGATATGGATATGAGCATAGAAGAGTTTCCAATAACTCGGTATCTGTTTCTATGTTTGCTAAAACACTTGAAAGATGCATTTTGAGTGTGTCTTCAAGATAATGATTATGTTCAGTTTTTGATAACATTTTTTTCTCAACTTCATCTTTTAATATTGTTCCAATATGTTCTGCCACATTGAGATCGGGTCAATTTCCTGGCCAGATATCATTACCCCAAAACCTAACATCGTTGTCTTGCAGGAAATGTTGCGTCTTATGTGCTCGCATACACGGTGCTTTATCATGGACAAATATAACTTCATATGGATCAATAACATTTTTTTTGTTCTTTAATAAAACGTTTTTTTTTTCTCCTTTTAAACTATTTAACTAAATATGACGTTTATTCTATTTTACTTCGACAAAAAATTATCAGATTATTTAATGATAAACTATTTTTTACAGTAGATAATCAATATATATATGTAACATATTTAAATAGATAATCAAATTGAATATTAATCAAATAAATTTTCGGTCTATAGATCTATGATAAATGTGTGCATGATGAAAATAGTTTACAATAAATTGATGAATTAAAAATTTTCTCGGTTTATATTTCAATAAGATTATTTTTAATATAAGATAGATTTACAAAAATTTTGTTAAATGAAATAATTAAACATGACTATTATCTATTATTTTTCTTTTAATTGAGTTATTCATTTATTAATCATTCTCATAGGAAATAATATATCAATTTAGATAATATTATGGAAGTTTTTCTTTTCTCAATCATTGTCAAACAATGATTAAATTAATTCAATATTCAGAAAAAAGGCAAATTTTTTTTTTTGTTTAGTTTTTATTTAGATTCTAAATCATTTTTTTAAAATAAATTAAATATATGAAAAAACACTTCATCGGAATATAAAATATCGCATTAGTTGTTGTTTTTTAATCAATTATTAATTGATATTTAATTAATTAAGAATAAAAACGAGAATTTACTTTAATCCAATAACAAAAAAAAAAAAGTTTTATTTTTATAGGTTATTCAATAAATATATATATATTCATTTCAATATGAAATTTATCTTCGGTTTATTTTATTTTCACATTTTATTGGATATTTTCGATAAATATTAGTGTTCAAACATTGATAATAATGATAAAGTTTTTTTTTATCTTAAAGATCTTTATGTCTTAAAAAGTATCGATCTGCTATC